GCAGCCCCTGCCACCGTGTGCCCCTCAGGCTCAGGCTGGCCCTGCTCCCACGGCCTCCCTGTCCTTGGCTGTGGCCCCGACAGGGGCTGGACGGGGTGTGGCCCACAGGTGCTGGGAAGAGGACAGAGTCCACAGGAGGCCGCCTCCTCCCCGGGAGCTGCCCTGCCCTTCCCACCAGCTTCCCAAGGCACAGCCTCTCCTCCCCAGGCCGCTCACCTGCCGCGGCTCATCTGCCCCCCAAGTCTGTCCCGGAGCCTCCCTGAGGGGGTCAGAGCCCCCCAAGGGCTGCACTTCCCTGGAAGTCGGCCCCGATGCCCCCATGGACCCCTGCCCCAGGCTGACACCCCTCCCCGCCCACGGGCTCAGGCACCCAGGCAGGTGAACACCCAGAGGCCAGCATCTCTACGAGGAGCGGGGCACCCGGTCAGCTCAGCAGCCGCTGTGCAGAGCTGGTGCTGGAGCCTTCAGCAGGGCTGGACCCGGGGGAGCCGGGCTGGTGGGAGTGCAGGGGCCGTTCCCAGGGTCCACCCACCCTCAGGCAAGGCCTGGGGTCCCCCTGCTGGGTCCCCACACGCACACGGCAGTGCTTTTATTTTGAAATCTATTTTTACTGACTTCAGAGAGGAAGGGAGAGGTCAGGTCTGGGGTCAGAGCTCCAGGCAGAGAGGCAGGTGGTCAGACGGGGCCCAGAGGCCGGCTGGTCTGTCTGCAGGTTCCCAGGGCCCATCTGGGCTGGACTCTGGGGAGGGGCCGGGATGGGGGAGACAGTGTAGGTGGTGACAGGCCCGGGGCCTGCAGTTGGGGGGTGGCCGGAGGTGAGCAGGAGGAAGCCAGAGGCAGAGGCCGAGACGGAACATGCGGAGGCGGCAGGCACAGGGAGCGGGGACGGCTGGTCTGGGCGAGGTGCCCACAGCTGGAGAGGAAGTGGCCTTGGCAAAGCCCTTCTGCAGCTCAGGGTGCTGGGTCTGCCGATGTCCCCGGGTCCCCCCTCCTGATCGGCCCTCAGACCTCCCATCCCCAGACCAGAGCATCCAAACCCCAGTATCCAGGGTGTGGCCATGGCCTGGGCAGGGCCCCCTGGTCCACCTGGCCGCCAGCACTGAAATTGTCTCTGTCGCCCTTCCCCCTGCCCCTCCCCCCCCGGCGGTCACTCGCAGAGCAGCGGTGTGGGAGCACCGCGGACGACAGACGGATGTGCAGGAGTCACACGGGGACGTCCACGTTCGTGGGCTGCCCGCCACGGTGCCACACGGGCGCTCCCAGAGTTCCACGTGTGACCAGGGCTCGCTCCTCCAGAGCACACACGTTTGCTGGGCTCTTTGGAAGCAAGGATGGCCTTACACAATCAAAATAAAGGTGTCTTCAGAATCTGGTGG